GGGACAGCACCAGGCCCAGAGTTCAGTCCCCACCACAACCAAAAAAAAAAAAAAAAAGTCTTAGGGGAATTTTTTTGCTGGCTTTGAACCATGATCCTCAGATCTCAGTCTGAGTAGCTAGAATTACAGGCATGAACCACTGGCTCCCCTTAAACAGCAAGAAAAGCACAAAATGTATCAGGATGACTTTAAACCTCACATATGATCTAATGGCTATAGTAAGGCTGAAGAAAATTTCTGTAACAAGTACAAGCAATAGAAATGTTCTGAGTCAATGGAAAAGGATACTCAATTTTCACTGAACAGTGTAAAATAAATACAGAAGCAAATATTAGTATTGCCTAAGAGGTGGTTTTATGAAGTGTTAAATAGGTAAAATCATCTCTATTGCAATATACATTCAGCTACTGCATCTGACACAAGATATACCACAAATGACTTAGGTAATTCTCACCCTGATTCCACAACAACATGCTTTAGGTAGGTCAGTAAAGAGAGAGAAGGTACTGATCAATGGGCTAACACTTTAACATTTTCCCTTCCTTTGTGCTGGACCATTATCATGAAAAATCAGTGTCATGAAAAATACATTAGTTTGAGATGTGTTGACAAACTAGATTTCTAGGGTAGAGAACCAGACATAGAATGAGCGCAAATCCACTATGATAATATATGCTCCAGGGACAGCTGGTAAGCTGGTAAGTGTGGGCTTAGATCCTTTTCAAGAACCATTTTTCCCCTCCTTTCTCTAACATTTTTGGATGGGCATTCTGGAAAATAGTACAATTGACATTGCTCTGCTATTAAGAAGTGGTAAAAATCACACTTTGTATATAATATTGTCGCAATTTAGTATTGATCTTGTAGTTGGTATTGAGAATGGTATCTGGTGTTCTTATGCACACATTTGTTTAAATTTGGATTAAACACAAATACCAAATATAATAATTTTGCAATTCTAGTTTTATAATCCACATCAGAGCAAATATTTACTACCCAATAACAAGCCATATACAGCAATTTAGTTTTAGCTAATCTTGTCATTTTAAATGTAAATATGATATGAAAGAAAAAGGAATATTAAGTCAAATTGTAGACTAATAATTTTAAAAGTTGACTATAAAATTAGGTCATGGTTATGTTTAAAAGAAGCATTCTTTTGAAAGGTATTTTTTTTAACTTTTCAAGTGCTTCAAGAAATACAGAAAGTAACCTGAGATCCTCAAGTTCCTTGTTTATTTTAATTTTTTAAAACAAATTAAGGATAGGGGGCCTTAGTACAGATTTTGTCTTCAAATAGTTTCCTTTGGAAAATGTCAACAACTTAGATACTTTAAAAATGATTAACTAGTTGCAAAGAGATTAGAAACAATATCTTAGGTACATGTCCCCAAGCAAGCATATTTCTGATTCAGACTTTTAAACTGTCAATCCCAGAGAGACAATGCCATTGACGTGTACATGGTGCTAGTTCTTCCAGTTAATTTCTTCCCTGGAGAGTGGTTTTTGGGCGACAGAGTGGCGTCCAGGTTTCCCAGTTGTTCCACTGACAAACTGCAGTGGTGGTAAAGTCAGGGACCTGACACGATCTCATTCATCATTTTAAATTAAATCCAACCTTCCTGCCCAGCTATACCAAGAAGAAAGCATTTTCTTTTTTCTTTTCCTTTTTTTTTTAACGAATGAAAATTTCCTCAGTAAAGATGTGGTAAATTTCTCTTGCTGGTCTTTAATTCGATTAGACAAAAAATACAACAATTCACTTTCTGAAGCCTGAAAACAAAACATTTGTCTAGATATGATTTAGCAGATCAGCCACGTGTCTTAAAAATAAAACAAATCCTGAATAAAATATATGGAAATATTTTGAGGGGAAAATGTGCCAGGTGAATTAGAAATATCACTTAACTTTAATAGTTCAATGAATTTTGTTTTGCCTAAATAATTTATCCTTAATATTTTAAAGAGGAAATTAAAAACATCCATTATAATACTTTGGTATATTTTAGTCTATCCTCTCTTTTTCGATTCATAGGGTTTTGCTTTGCTGTATATGGTAATTGTAATGTATATATATACACACATATATGTATATATATGTATATATATATATACATACTCATTGGCAAAAATAAAAGAAATATTGAAATTACAAGTAACAAGATTAATGATTTGAATTCTTGAAGGTGAAAAAATTGGTAAACAATCTTAAAATAGCAGTGATTCATCTAGATATTTAAAATTAGAGGTCTTAGGTGGCATCTATTTCTAAGTTAATAGGCTGAATATGTCTTAATGGTTAAAAAAAAAAAAACAAAAAACCTCTGATCTGCAAATTGTATACACTTGTGGTATCTGGATACATCTTGTAAAAATAAAAATAGCGAAGCTATCATTTTATAGACTATATAAAAACTGAACCAGAGGTAAAATAACTGAATTTGTCTGGAAACTTGAGGCAATGCCTTTACTGTGCAGTACTGAGGAAAACATGAATAATTAAATTTCCATCTCTGAGTATTGAGAAATTTATCCAGGATGAAAAGGTTTACAATAACAATAATAATATAAGTTTACAAATGACAATTTACAAATCAGAATGTTAGCTTAGGATGTTGAAGGCTGAGTAACATTTCAACAGGTAAATACAGGGGAGAAATTAGTAGCTTCCTAGAAAATAAGGCAAATACAGGACTCATTAATATCAGAGTTAACTTTAATAGACCATACCCAGGATAATTCCTGTTAATGACAATAGGATCTAAAGTTTTTTTTTTTCTTTTTCTCTCAGTTGTAGAGCCTGAACTCTGGGCCTGGGCACTGTCCCTCAGCCCTTCAGCTCAAGGCTAGCGCTCTACCACTTGAGCCACAGTGCCATTTCTGGCTTTTTCTGCTTATGTGGTGCTGAGGAATTTAACCCAGGGCCTCAGGCATGCAAGGCAAGCGCTCTACCACTGAGCCACCTTCCCAACCTGGCTCTAAAGTTTTAAAGCTTTTTTTTCTTCCCTGCCATCTTCTTTCCTCTCTTCTCCTCCCTTTCCTCATCTCTTCTTTCTTATCTTTCCTTCCCTTCCTTTCTTTCTCACTTTTCTTCTTCCTTATCCTTGCTCCCTCTCCAGTCTGCCTTCCCTTCCCTCTGCTTCCCCTTTTCCCCTTCCCTATTTCAAATTATGACCTGAATCTTAGAAAACCTGACTAGTGAGTTTGTATAGGAAGACTTGACTAGAAGCACCTAGTAGGCATGGTACATTCTGGGCTTGAAACAACCCGGCTCTTACTGAGGAAGGAGGTTGCAGGCAGGCCTAAGCACTCTTGTGTGTTTCAGCAGAGCTCACATTTTGCACATCGGGTAAGGGAATATTAAAAAAAAAATTAGCAGTGTTGTGACTTTGCAGCTTACAGACTTATGGGGGCTATAGTAAATGAAGTTCAACACTCTTCTCTTCTTTTTCTTTTTTTAGGAGGAGGGGTAAAGAAGGCAACCCAGGACTGCACCCATTTAGGCAAGTTCCCTACCAAGAAACTACATCCCCAGCCCCCAGCATCCTTCTTGACATTCTCTTTCCTCAGCTCTTGGAGTACCATCCATCTCCAGTTCTGAAGTTTTGATTAAACTTTTATAAACTCTCCTTTTCTAGACTAAACCTTACAGTACTGTTTCTCAATTACTTTTTACTTTCCAAACTATCTAGACATATCTTTTCTTGTAGGCCACTTAATATACTTTAAATACGAATATGACTCTGACTTACATATCCTGCTCTCATTAATTTTTATCTCTATATCAGCTGCAAGTTCAAAAGAAGCTAGGTGCCAATGGTTCACACCTGTAATCCTCACTATTCAGGAGACTGTGATCTTGAGCATTGTGATTTGAAGGCAGCCTGCCCACTCTTATCTCCAATCAATCACCAAAATGGGGGGAAAATGCTATTAGTGGAGCTGTGGCTCAAGCAGTAGAGTACTAGCCATGAGTAAAAGTGTCCAGGGATGTTCTCAGACCCTGAGTTCAAGCCTCAGGATTGACACACACACACACACAAAATACGTAAAGTATGGGATTGTTATCACTTCCACTCATTCTACCAGTTGCTTCTCTATTGAGAAGCTACCTTTAATAATAAGATACTCATAGTAAGAACCAAGTGAGGTAAAGCATGTTATCTAATTTCAGCTACACTGGATATGTAGATCAGAATGATCAAGAGTCAAAGTCCTGGGCAGAAAAGCCCTGGAACCTTCCATCTCCAAACAACAACAACAAAAAGCATGGCTAAGACTTCAAACTTTTAAGGACTTTCTCTTCCAACTTCTTTCCTCTCAGGGAGAAGTTATAGCCATCATATATATATTATATTTGTCCAGTGCTTTTGCTTTTTACTTAGAAGTAATTTTGATTTACCACATAAACACACTTCTCTATCCATACAATGTGATGTAGCTGAATTCTTACATGATTGTTCATCACAACATACTTAATACATTTGTTCTTTATTAAGTGGCGTTTTCCTCATGTACCCAGTCTTCTAATGCCCATGAAGGCAGAACGCATGTCTAAGTATTTCCCAGTAATAGTACCCAAGACAGTGCCAGCACATGGACAACTCTTGATAAATATTGTCTGTCTGCCTGAATGAATAATGAGTGTTTGCCATCAACAGCCCTTTCTCAATGGCTTCTGAACAGAGATAATCAAGATTAGGAAAACAGTTGGACTAAGTCAGACATAAACAAGCAAAATTGAACAGCCTTCTATAACTTCTATTGTTTATAAGTGTACCTTTTAAATTCTGCTTAAAGGACAGTTTGAAAAGAACTGAATGATAAATTTATATTATACAAGTACGTATCAGTTTGCATAGTTATATAATAACAAATAGATACTCTGTTCCAAGTCCAAAGAAAGAAAGAACTGGTATTGGTTTCTGAATGACATCAGACCCAACATTTACAAAGCCAACAATAGCCTTAGATCAGAATAAAAAAAAATAAGAACTCGGTTTGAGAGAAAAGGAAAACTTTTAGTTAAAATCTTTACAATAAAATAATTATGATTATAAATCTCTTTAGTTAAATATGTATACATTACATGGTATTTAAAAAAGAATGATGAATAAAGTTTTTCAGGCAAATCTAATGCACACATCTCATGTAGTATAATGCCAGTTTAACATTCTTTAACAGCTGTGTCCACCAATGGCTCTACTTTGTGCAAAACATGATAAGCAAAATTAAGAGAAATCCTGCAAAATTATTTAGTTCCCCAAGGAAAATCATTAGAAAAGGAAACAGTAAAACAATTAAGAGGCTATACACTCTAGCTTGATTGTATACAGGGGCTAGAATGACCAGCGCTGATGTAATCACCGTATTTGCTAACTAAGTCCTTGGGTAGCTTTAGTCTGAAGTAAAAACTAGAAGTCCTAGCAATTGTGCTTTTATGCAGCCACATGGCCAATAAGGTAGATGTTGTCATAAAGATGCCCTACAAAATCTTCACTAATGTTTTGAGCAGCACGACGGGTATTTCGAATAAATTCTCTTTTTGACATTTTATTCTTCACATGAGGGCTAGTGAGGTCAATGGAAAGTAGAATCAAAGAGTAGCACAGTACATAGACAGCATCTAGAAGGAAAAAGAACATTTCAAATTATTATCTTGAACCACTCAAAGGTATAAGACAAAAATGTTCATGATTTAGAGGTCGAGATTAACTCATAACTCAACATAGGGAGATCAATCCATCCCAGACTACCTAGATACTTCCCAGTTTAGCAATGAAAATCCTATGTCCTGGGAAACTCCTCAGCACTGGGCAAACTAGGGCAGTTATCATCGAGGTTGATACCAGTTCAGTGAGCATTTACTAATGTAATATCTAATATTACAACAGTAAGAAATGTCGTGACACTTGCTATTACTATCATATTTATATTTCAGAATCTTGTAGACTTAGGAAAACTGAGTTAAATATGTCAGGTAAAATTTTATACCAGGTAAATGTTTTCTCACCTCTGACTAATAAGGTAAGCACAATATATAAAGAGGTTATTGGAAACAAATTTTAGTGGAAAGTGTTCCTTATGGGTGGATTGTTAAAAAGCTTTAAAATTTCTCAATTTTTCAATTAACTAGTAAAAATATCTAATACTGAAACAATTTTAAAGACGTTAGGAAGCTCAGTTAACTTTGTTTTATATATTAAGTAGTATCCTTATATATTACAGATAAATAATAGCTATGACTCAAGATCCCTTTAAGTTCACATAATGATATTTTCAATTGATCACTGCTTCAAGCAAATATTTTGCAGTTTTCTGTCTCTTGTAAGATTGTATTTTGCCTACATGTCATAGGGAAGGGGGAGGAAAGTAATTATATATATATATATATATATATATATATATATATATATATATATATATATATACACATATGTGTACAGGCATATGCTTACCAGGACTAAGGCCAAGTTCTCGCATTAAATCAGGATTACAAGCACAGAACCGGTGTGAGAACTTTGTTATAAGAGTTTCAAGATACTCCCCACGCTCTTCTGGAGCATGGATATGACGAAAAAATTCTCTCAGTGCGTTTGGCAGGAATTGATTCCTAAAATTATGCAATGTTACAAGGTCATCCAAGACATCTCTCCTATAGAAAAATAAAAAGGGACAGCTTTAGTTAACTTTTCCCATTAAAAAAAATTCTCAGTGCCTGCCACTCATATTTGCAATCTGAGCTATTGGAAGCCTGAGAGAAAATCAGAGGTTGATGCCAGCCTAGGAAGAAATGTTCATGAGAACCGCCCCCCCCTCCCCCCCGCCCCGCTTCTCAACGAGGAGCTGGAAATTGGTGTGCACCTTTATTTTAGCTGCACGGGAAATCGAACATAGGCAGATAGAGCCCAAGCTTTTGTCAGAGCAGCAAATGAGATCCTATCCTAAAAATAACCACCAAAAATCAGGGCTGTAGGCACAGCTCAGTGATAACAGCACTTCACTAACAAGTGTCGGGACATGAGTTCAAACCTCAAATTTCTGAATAAAAATAATTATTGACAACTAGTTCAGCTAATCATATTTAAGTATTTATTATTTTTAACATTTAAGAAGCTAAATAGGATTATTTGTGATGTTCAACCATTTTGAATGATTCTATAAATAGTTTATAACCAAACAAAGTACAGTAAGGAGCTGTACCCACTTTTATTTTTGTGTGGGGGTGTACCGGGGTTAGAACTTTGGGGTCATGGTCACTAGGGAGGGACTCTGCTACTAATCCATGCCTCTAGCCTGACTCCATTGTTTTATTTTATTTTTTATGTTTTCTCAGTCATAGGGTCTGGGCGCTCTCCCTAAGCCTCCTAGACTAGCACTCTATCACTTGAGCAACTGTGCCACTTCTGGCTTTTTCTAAGTAGTTTATTGGAGATAAGAGTTTCATGGATTTTTCTGCCCAGTTTTCTGCCCATGCTGTCTTCAAACTGTGATCTTCAGATATCAGCCTCCAGAGCAGATAGGATTACAAGTGTGAGCCACTGATGCCCAGCTATTTTTATTTTTATAACAGCAACTTCTTTATCAGTAATATAAAGATTACACAATAAGATACAGCAACATTTTTTTGTTGTTCTTCACTCCATTTTTCAACTAGAAGCCTGATAGATACTATAGTTTTTTGAAGTGAAATTTAACTAATCAAAGGCAGTATGTAACTCATTTCTGATGAGAAACTTAAACTACTTGTACCTTTCATCAAGATAGATTCTCAGTTTTTTCCAATTTAGTGTTCTTGTACAGAAGATAAACTTCGCTATCTCCTTTGGTGAATCATCGAGGATACCCTTGGACATAAAGTAGTTCACCCCCTAACGCCGAAAGACAAGTAACAAACAGAAAATCAGCCTTTATTTAAACATGTTAACAACTAGGCAATATTGAAACCATAGCTATATATTCTTTCCAGCATCACTAGACTGTTTATAGCTTTATCATGCAAAGTAGAAGCTAGAACCTGAAGTGAAACTACCATTTGTGGTTGATAATTTACATGCAATGAAAAGCAGGAAATTCAAAGTTAATATTTCTAAATAAATCTTAATTTAGCTTTCTGGTTAAACGATATAGTCAAGTCAAAACTGGCTATACTGAAATATGGCTTAATTTTGGAGAGGATGTGAAAGAAAATACAATATGTGCTATAAAAAAAGCTTGTAACTATCCAAAATACTCTCCCAGCCTGATAGAAAACACGATTCCTTGAAGTACAAATTGTTGTATGCTTTTCTTTTTTTTTTTTAGGTCCGGTCGTGGGGCCTGAACTCTGGGCCTTGGCACTGTCCCTCAGCTCTTCAGCTCAAGGCTAGCGCTCTACCACTTGAGCCACAGTGCCACTTCCGGCTTTTTTCTTTTTTTTTTTTTTGCTTATGTGGTGCTGAGGAATTGAACCCAGGGCCTCGAGCATGCAAGGCAAGCGCTCTACCACTGAGCCACCTTCCCAGCCCTGTTGTATGCTTTTCAAGGAAATAAATTCTCTAGGAAAAAAACATTCTCCAAATGAAAAACCAACAACTTTATCCGGGAAAGAAAAACAATCAAATTATTTAAAGTAAATTAGGCCAAACTCCAGGCTGGTTCATGCATTTTACTACTTTGGCTTTAAACATCACTACATTTTACAAGAATCCAAGTAAAATACACAATGAGGCAAAGCATAATAAGACAAAATACTTCAATTTTTTTTCTCACAGGTCTTTATCTTTGAATTTCCTTTTCTCTGCATGCAAAGTTTTCTATAGAAGCATTACCCATAAGTTTGCATCTAATTTAGATGTAAATCAGTAATAACAAAACAACAACAATAAATAAAATGCTGAAGCAGTAATCTCTCACATATATGGAGGTCACATTCAAATTAATGTCTTAGATGGATTTGAATGTATAGTTTTCAATTGAAATAAAAGGCAGGTGTGTTTATTTCAACTTGTAATTACCCAGACACAAGCATTCTCATGAATGCTTATGTCTGGATACTAGCACAATGTGTGCAGTTAATTGGTAGAGAAAATGACATCTTAAATACATGCAACATACTGCTTTCACACATAAATTCCTTCAGCATTTCAAACACACAGTACTCAGAAATACTGCACACATTAGAATAAAAAGTCAGAAGAATTTTTATGAGTCTTAATTAAATAAAATCATTCTCATAATAATTTTATATTAAAAAGTTTTAAAAGCAGTTTGGTTCTATGAATAATGGTTTTAAAAGGTTGTAATTATCTGTATTTGTAATTCAAAGATAAGACTTTTTATATAAAACTAATTTTATCAGTCATCAGGATAATATCTTAATAGCAGGGCTAATTTTTTGTGTGAATTGTAATAGTATTAAGGCACCAACTTAGGAATGTACATAAAAAATACAGGATGGTAATGTGAAAACTTCCTATGAATTCAGTCATAAGCTATATCTCACGGAATCCTAGAGAAAAGGATGTAATATGATCAAGATAGAAGGACAAGAATTTGTTTGGCTTTTACCAGTTGTAGGAACTAAATTTTTTTAAATAGCTTTCAGCAGTTGTAGGGACTAAATATTATTTATTTCACATATATTAGCTATACAAAGAGGGTTTCATTGTGATACTTCCACACAGGTATACAATGTATTCTCATCAATGTCCCTACACACCACGCTTCCTTTTTCTCCTCAACTTTCTAATACAATTTCAACAAGTTTCATTGTTCCAGTCATACTTGCTGACAATATACTTCCATCATAGTAATTCTCATTCTCCTTCCTTAGCTCAACCCTCTCTAGCTAGTCCTTATCCCCACAAGAGCCTAAGAGCCTCTTGAATGCCCTAGGGATCAAGAGCTTTCCTTGACCTTCCCTTCCTTCCTTCTTCCCTTCCTTTCTTCCTTCCTTCCTTGCTTCCTTCCTTCCTTCCTTCCTTCTTTCCTTCCTTCCTTCTTTCCTTCCTTCCTTCTCTCTGAGGTTCTTTATGTTGTTTTCATATGTAGTTGCAGTACATCTCAAAATTATTTACTTTTTATCTTTTCTTTGGAGAACTAGAGAAATTTTAACACTTGTTCCATCCTTTCCACCATTACTTTGAATAATTGGGAGTTGACTGTATGTTTAATGAATCTGCTTAGTATAAGTTGTATCAGGTTTGTTTCCAAAATTTCTCAGTGTAAAAGTGTAACAATATTTTAGAATTATTTCCAGTGTTTAATTTTGATTGAAGTGCTTTAGAGACAGAGCAATACCAATTAAGTATTACTAAATGATTATTTATTCATGCTCACATCACAATTTAAGAGTTGTAAAATTAATTCAAATCTACTTTTAAAAAGATACAAAATAAGCCCAATAATGATATAGTAAGTGAGATATAATTCTATAACTGTATGCTATATGCCATTATAATATCGCTTGTTGCTACGTAGAAAGGAACTTTGTCATTTGCCTGATTAAGCATCATGAAATATGCAAGATTAGATATACTATTGGCTTTTTTCCCTTTTTTATGAAACCTATGTTTTAACAAGGTAATGCTAATCCAACCTGACTTCTTCAGAGGCAATCAAATACATATGAGTAATCACATGAGTTTTAAACTCAGTCCTAAAAAATGAAGTAAATAGCTTGAAATAATCCAATTTTGTGAGAAAAGGAGGCAATGACTTCAAGTTTGAGATGTCTCTGGAGAAGAAAATTACTTCAGAAGGACTACTGAAACAGAAAAAGGGGTAGGACCAGATTATAAATGTTTCTAATAAGTAAACTGGCAATCATTTTAAGTCCTGAAGCTTCAGGTAACAATGAAATACAAAAACATAACCCATATCGTATCTGGTGAGAGGCAATACTTTTTGTTAATAACTGGCTAAGTATGTTTAGTTTTTAATAAAGTTTTAGAAAAATAGTAGTGACCTCACTACATTAGTGATTAGTCAGGATTAGAACTCTCAGTAGTATGTGTGTGCATGCACAAGTCTATTTAGTTTCTTATAAGCAACAGACAAAATGAGCATCAAAATCAATATGTAATTTCCAATGCAAGGTTAAAGCTTACTATAACATACATGATTACACTGTTTCTTATAAAAGTGTACAGATCCGAAGGTCACATTTTATAAAGTATGTTGATAAATTAGCATTTATCTAGATACAGGACATTAGGACCTAGAGATTACTGATGGATATAAAATTCATGTTATATAAGGAAGACTTGAAGAATGCTGAAATAATAAACCAAAGAAGAAAATGTTTAGAGAAGAATAAGACTGTAAAACATCTGAAGACTTTAACATATGTAGAAAGAGAGAAAGGAGCAGACATTGTGGCGATTTAACGAAGATTACATGTTCTCTTTTGAGTCATGGGCAACGAAAATATTGTGGAACTTCTTTCCAGAAAATGGGAGCAGCATTTAAAAGATTTTATTTTACATCTTGTATGCATTTGGAAAATATAAATTAAATGCATGTAATCTCTCTAAGGACTGCAGGTTAGGTGTCCTTTCGAGATGAAGGCAGAAGCACAGTGATTGAGCATCAGTTACAGGTACAAGTGAGTATCAACTAAGAAAGGACACCTGCCAGTTGGTCATTTGCTTGCTTGATTTTTTTTTTCTTACGTTTCCAAAGTAAACTTAGGCTTTCAGTTTATAGCTCTTTTCATTGTTTATATAGATTTTTAATTCTTTTAGGCAAATTCTATTCTGTTCCAACTTTTAGAATTTTTAAAATTGTTTCAGGAACATTGTAGCTCCTTTTGTCATCTAGGGAGAATTGCTGTTTATGTCAAGTATTGTGTGATAATGGCTTCAGTCCTTTAGTAGGATGATTGCACAACATAAAGAAAGCTCTCTTCAGCTGAGAGGAAACTATTGGCCAAATAGATTTTATCTTACAACAGTTCAGAAGGAAATTATAGTACTTTCTGAATATACTTAGAACATAATTCTGAGTATGACAAATACTCTCATGTTTCTTCAGAAAATGATTAACTGGTAAATATGGTCCATGCCATAAATCTTAAATTTCTTAGCAATTCGAATTTGAAGTCTTCATTTAGATGTAGAGTATTATCTATATACATATATGTGCATATTTAGATCATGTATATCAGCTTTAAAAAACTTTTGTTAAGTAACCCAAAACCAATTGTTAAAATCTTTATTTAAAGGTATATTTTTATTCAGCAGTAGAGATTGATTAGTATAAAACAGTTTTGCCCTAAGAAAACTTAAAGGTAATATCTGATGATGAGACAAACATAAAACTAGAATAGCTGGCATTGGTGGCTTATACCTGTAATCCTAGCTACTTAGAAGGCTGAGATATGAGGATCATGTTTAGAAGCTAGCTTGGTCAGGAAAGTCCAAGAGGCTCTTATCTCCAACTAACTATTAAAAAAAAAGCCAGAAGTAGAATTGTGGCTCAAGTAGTAGAGTGCTAGTCTTGAGCAGTAAAGCTCAGAGACAGTGCATAACACCACATAAAAATACGCAGATAAAATATATCCATGTGACAAATCAGTAGTACAATGAAAGGAAATCTCAGGATGAAATAAGACTTGTTTGGTTCAAGTTTTAAGGAATGATAGGATCTATATGGGTCTGAATAAGATAAAAACTGGAATACTTTGGTTAATACTATATCATGTTACTTTTTTTTTTTTTTTTGGTACCAGTACTGGGGCTTGAATTCAAGACATGAATGATATCTTAGCTTTTTTTCTTTCTTTCTTTTGTTCAAAGCTAGAATTCTAACACTTTACCCACAGCTCCATTTCCAGCTTTTTATATTGGAGAGATAAAATATCATAAACTTTTCTTCCTGGGCTAGCTTC